GCCCGCCGCGGTCCGCCCGGTCCCGGCGGCGCCCGGAGACCGGCGAGGAGGGGCTCAGCATCCCGCTCGGCCCGCCGCCCCAGTCCGGGCGGGCGCTCGCACGTGCTTTGCATTCGTTTGCATATCATTCATTTTAATGTCAAACCGAGGAAGGGCCCCAAGTTGCTACCCCAGCCTCTCCAGGCCCCACTTTCTCCTCTTCCTCCCGCCCGCTTTCCCCTGAAGCGCCCAGAGACACGTCGGATTCCTTCGCCTGGTTGTTACAAGGGAGCAAACTCCCTGCAATTTCTTTCCCTTCCACCTCACCCGCTCACGCACACTTGGTTTCTTTGAGACAAGAAGGGTCCCAGGGTCACCGTCTTAAGAGACAGAAGGGGCCAGACCTTAAGAGCTGTAAGGCCTTGATTTGCATCTCATTAGGCATCAATCTGCATGTGAAAGATAAAAATCTAGAGTGCCAAAAAACGTACCCCCTTTTCCAGGCTTGCCACGCTGGCCTGTTTTCCTCTCTGGGACCCCGTTCTGCCTTTTTGAAATACAAAACAGGGCTCCTGCCCGGTCCTCCTAGGGCCACTCCCAAGAGTGGGGTCTGGTCTCCCTCGGTCTCCTGGGCCTCCCTCTAGTGAACTGTTTCTAACCCGTCTCACACCTACAACGTCCACATTTTCGGATCTGGATTGACAGTGGTATCTGCCCACGTGGGCTGTGTCCATCTTGTGGAAAAGTTGAGGGTCCTGAGTTCATTTCAAAGAGGATTATGGATCTAAAAGTGTTGGGTGTGGGGCTTGAGACCACACACTTTATGCAGCAGGTGCATAGACACCAGCTCCCTTCCCCTGTGGGCTCCTAACACCGAGGCACTGTTATTCCATGTGTGGCTGAGAAAGCAAAGCACAGTCCAGTTATAATCTTGATCCCTCTCCAACGGGCAGCCCCTCCTTCCCCCAATTCTCAGCTCTGGGTTTTGAGGTGGACAAAACTGATCCTGAAAATGTTTACCAGCGGGGTCTGGAGAGATGGCTCAGCGTACAAGAGCACTGACTGCTCTTGGGGAGGACCCGAGTTCGATTCCCAGCACCCACTTGGTGGCTATGAACCGTCCTTAACTCCAGTTCCAGGGGAATCCGAAGCCCTCTCTGACCTCTGTGGCAATGCACAACACGGGTGCACTCACATACATGCAGGCAATACACTCAAGCACATAAAATAAAAATAAGAAAAAAATATTAAAAAAAAAAAGAAAATGTTTGCCAGGACACCCTGACCTGCATTCCCTCTGTCAGGATGAAGGACTCTTTTCTGTCATCTAATAAATCCTGCTGTGTAGCCCAGGCCAGGAGGCAGTGACCAGTCCCAACCCACCTGGCGCTCTGACCCTGACACCAGCCTGAGGGCCCAGTGAGGATGCTGGGCCCCAGCGAGCTTGGAGACTTGCATGTCACAGGCTAGTCTTTAGCAGAGCTGGGTATTACACTAACCAGTCAGCCCAGGAGTCTCAGTTATCACTTGCTATTCACCTTTAATAATAACTCTGAATAACTACGGCCTCCCTTAAACACTTCTCTGTAATTTCTAAAAAGCTTCAGTAGGAGTTTAGACAGCTGTCAAGAAAATAAAAGGTGACAAACTATGGGTATTTTAAAATGAAAGGCTATCTAATGGATTATAGATATAATAGTGGTTGATAACTGCTGTTGCTCATATTTAAATAAAGTCTCCATAAACACCTCACTCTGGTCCCTACCTCAAACAATGAGCTTTTACTAGAACCTAATTCATGATCTATGGAAAAGTCTAATGAGTCAGGCATCGTTAAGTTTCTGCAAAAGATACCATTAAAGAATAAAATAAGCTGTGGGCTAGGAGAAAGTCTGAGTGAAACACATATTTGAAAGGGTCTATTACCCCAAATATGCAAAGAGCCCTTAAGACCAAACAACAGAAAACAAACAGCCCAATCAAAGTGGGTTAGATTCCTGAACAGAAGCATCTCAAGGAAGATAGAGAGAGGTAGAGAGAGGGCAAATGAGCAAATGAAACAAACCTAGCACCACCAACAAAAACACAACAAAAACTTGTTGGGGAAGAAAGCCGCCAGCAGCTGTTTACAGCAACTTTCTTTATAATTGCTCAAAGTCAGAAGCAAGGAGCCGTCTTTCAATAGGCATTCACAGCCGGGGACACAGCAGACAGTGGGTATTATTCATTCATAAGATGAAAAGATCCTGAAGAGCCTCAAGTGCACCTTGCTAACTGAAGAACCTGCCAGAGAGGGTAGTGTGCTATGTGATGCCACCTCTGACATGATAGTGGAAAGATCTGACTGCGCTGGGGTCACCAGGGAGGGAGGGGGTGTCTCATACCCGTGCCCCACTGACATTGCGTGTGAGGGGTCAGTTCTACTTTCTGATCAGTCTTTCGGCAAACCCAAAGCTGCTCTAAAAATTTAGTCTATTTTAAATTTTAAAAAGCCCAGCAGACAAAAATATAGATATCAATGACCTTTTAAACACCTTGTGTCAATAGTGAAGGTATGTGCAGTTGAAAAGGCACGACGGATTGGACTCCGGTCTAGCACCTGGAGTCTTACACAATTCCTCTTTCTGTTAATGCGTATTTCTACTCCATCCAATAAAACAAAACTTTTTATCCTAAGCCAGGTACAATGTCTAGTGCCTGCAATCACAGCACTTAGGAGCCTGAGGCAGGAGGATTGTGGGTTCCAGGCCAATCTGAGTTACATAGGGAGACCCTGTTGAGGAGAAAGAGAGGAAGGATGAGGAGGAGAGGGGCGGAGGAGGCCAAGGAGGAGGGGGAGTTTGGAGGGAGAGGAATAAGATGAGAAGGAAGGGGAGAGGGAGAGGAGAAAGGTAGGAGGAGGGGAGGGGAGGAGCAGAGGTAGGAATGAGAAGAGATGGGAGGAGCGGAGGGAGGAGGCAGGGGAGAGGGGAGAGGGAGAGGAGGGAAAGGAGAAGGGGAGGAGGAAGGCTGCGATGATGGTTGTGAGGTCAGGTTCTTCGGGTAAAATGATGGCTCATGGTGTATACAAGTAGCTGATTTTCCAGTTCTAGGCTGGGTAGGAAACAGCCTCTGACCAAGCTGCCTCAGAGAAGGTAGCTCTGGAAAGAGCCTCCTGCCTCTGATGTGTTGGCGGCTAAATGCTTTCCATACTCTCTCTTGGAATGACTGATTTCTGCAGGTGAGGAAGCTGGCTCTGGGAGGCTCAGGACTTGTGGTGCTGACTGCAGTGGGTTATAGCTGTGTCCTGTGACCTGAGCTCCCCCATCCTTTTTGCCCTCCTGGCTTTTCTTGGGTTAGTCTCAGCTCTGTGCCTTCTCCCCATCCCCATCCCCCATGCTCCTGGGGCTACCAGCCAGATCACACAGGTGGCAGTCCCAAGGAAGGAGGGAGGATAGATGGGGTGCCCCTGACCCTTCCAAGGGAACAAGCATGAGCTTTTGGCAAGGAGGCAGCTGTCAGAAGGGTTTAAGACTAGATGGAGAGGAGCAGAGTGGCCCGGAAGTGGCTCAGTGTGTGGGATGACACAGTGTGCACTATGGCGGCTGCTAGCAGAGGTCCCCGAGGCCAGCAGCTCATACTCTGCACCCAGACGCCTGGTGTCAGCGAGGAGGGGAAGGCTTCCACAGACTTCTCACCCTCCTGGATATACTGATGACCTCAGGCTGCAGGAAGTCTGAGCCTCCCTGGTTTGCTAAGACCCCTAGAGCTGAGTTAGCTGGACTCTGCTTCTCATCTGTACACAAAAGGAAGATTTGGAAAATCTTGGGAACTAATGGTGGGGTGTTGACATGTTCTGCAGAAATGTTCAGGGATGATATTTCTTCATGGGGACACTTTGGCCATTGTTATGGGCAGCCTTAAAATTAATCTATCAATTTTATACACCAGGATTCAGCTACCAGAGTTGGTGTATGGAACAGGGACGCAACAACACCCATTGGGGGTGACTGGGAAACAGGCCATGGGACCTCAACTTAACAGCAGAGAAACATGTCCATAGTGGGATCTGGTCCTGGCAGAGGTGGGGAGAACTCAAGGGGATGAGGAGAGTGACTAGGGACAGCGAGAGCCCTTGCCTCATGTATCATGAGGACAAAAGGCTTTAGACGAAACCCCTCCAAGCACCCATGCGTGATAGAGAATGCATGTGGGACCAGGCACCGCTCAGCTCTCCAGAGGAGCAGAGCGCTTCTGTAGACCATGTCAGGACCAGATCCCACTATGAATAAATACACTATGCATTTCCACTTCACTTGCAAAAAT